CCCCCTTTTTTTTTTTTTTTTTTTTTTTTTTAGCATTTTATGTTTTGCAGGACAATTCTCAGGATCAAGCTACATGTTTTGTCCCCCCACCCCCTCACTGAAGGAGTGCTTTTGGTTGCTTTGGAAAGTCTTCCATTCATCTCAGACAAGTGCAGGAGTGACATGCTGTCACAAGCAGTGAGCACTTGATTGCTAGGTGCCAGTCACAGTAGAGCAATCCTCAGCCCCCAATGGCATGGCCGTTGTCACTGGTGCCCTAAGTGGCAGCCCTCACTCCACCAACACACAGCATCCATGCCAGCACAGGGCGGGCGTTCGCAGCTGCAGGCCTGCCTGCAGGACCTGTCACTGCGGTGCATCCAGACCCAGCGTGTATACTTAGCAGTTCTACATCTGGCTCATCTGCAAGGAGCCCCTGGGAAAGCAAGCATCCTCCCAGCTTTGCGTTAAAAGCTCTTGGGCATATTTACCAGCCATGGATGTCAAATGTCTTGGCGAAGGAGTGCCATGTCTCTCATCCTTAGTTCCCTTTATTAAAAGAGACATTTTCTAAGTGAACTTTGATCCCAGCTGGGGACATTTTTAGTCTTATCTATGGTGAGATTTGACTTTTTTTTTAATGGCAATAAGAAATTGGTTCTCTCAAGCCCTACATGCATCTCCTCCACTCTCTGAGGTCTGAAGGTCCCAGTGGTAAGATGAAAGGTGTCCACGGGGGGGAGTGTTCTGGTGGTTGGTTTGTCTGTTGCTGCCCTCTGTTGGTTCCTGATGAAAACTTTACCTCCTCCCTTGGGTTTCTTTATAATGCATATGATTTGCAGAACTGCTCTTTATCTTGCAAGGCCTTAATGGGCTCCAAGGGAAACATAAGGCCAGATCACCAAGAGGATTTTCATATGGGAACATGTATTGATCTTTGTAATAAGCAGAAAGATCAGTAAGATCCTGTCCTCCTAAAATGGAAGCTTAAGAGTACAAGCAGTGGGTCATTAGGCCTGGGGTCCTGTCCCAGCTCTGATAAGATGCAGCTCTCTAAACCTCAAAGTCCTCTCTATATTTTATCTGCATCTTATTGTTGCTAGAGAATAATTGAGCTTCACACACTCTGTGTGATACACAGTATACGCATTTCTGTAAGCAGTTTCCCTGTATTCGGCACTAACATTCTAACACAGTAATGGCTAAATAGGTGTATTTGCCTACTAGGTTAAAAATCCTTAGAAGGCAGGCCTAAGTAGTCATATATCTCGGTTGCATTTACACTCTCATAAATAAAATGTACCATATCATGGACATTCACTAATTGAGTCTGATTGGTTCTAGCAAGTTGAGTAAGTAAAATCCAATAAAAAGTTTTTTCCACCCCAAATGTGCATGTTACCCCAAGCACAGAACCAGGGCTTTCCAACTTGTTACCGGTCCTATGGATAACAGATTCCCCTTAACGCTCCGTACAAGAGCGATCATGGGTACTGCTGACACAGTTTCGTGGTGATTTTTACCTGGCATTTCATCTGGCAATGTGAGAAATGATCTAGTTTGTTAATGTGATTAGCCAAACAGAGAGTTGCTGATACTCCACTTGAGATCAGAAAAATATCACAACAGAAGGGTGTTATTTCAAGATTCATGCATTTACTATTACTACACAGTTTGGGCTTTTTGATTTTTTCCTTTTCTATTTTAGTGGCTTGCTTCTTGGAATGCTGTCTGCTGCTGCCCTCTTCTGGTGACACTGCTGAAGTCGTTCCTGACAAACTGAGCTGGTTTGAGTTGGTAAATAAACTTGAGTTGGTTTATTAGGAGTGTTTTTGTGTAGGATTTGGCAACTTAGTTCAGGAAATAAGGAGGGGAGAAGGAATTATTTTTCTTTAAGTAATTCTAATTATTGCAAATTTGGGGAGGAAACCTCAGTTTTTCTAGAGTGCTTGAAAGCTGGAAGAAAAGCAAAGCTGTGGGAACTTTGATTTTTTTCAAGCTTCCACAAGACTTCACTAAGTGAAAGCTATTCCTAATGAAATGCATGTTGCTCTGTCACAGAAGAAATCTTTTTTATCTGTATTTTGCTGAGAAGTTAATGAGACAGTGAGCACTGTTGTGATAATGGCATTGCAGAGCCTAGAACACGTTAGAAACCAGCAAGTTGGCCACCCCTGTCAGAGAGGCTGGGCTAGAACAACAGAAAACAGCAAACTAGTGATCTCAAGTGACAAGCAGACATCTAAAAGTTCACTTTGGAGAGAAGGGCCTAAAGGACTATATGTTTTACATAATTGGGATTTTGCAGCTGGTATGTATCTTTTCATGGAATCATGGGATAGACTGTTCGGACTTCTGAGGGTACAGTCATCCAACTTTTATTTTAAAGGTGGCTAGACCCCAGATATACAAGGCCTCTTAGCTCATTCCCAGCCACTTGTTTTAACTAGGAAAAGGTTTAAAATAATGTTTCTTAAAGAGTGGGCTGCAGACACCTTCATTAGAGAAAGAGTGTATGTGTGTGTATTGGTACGGAGGATGAGTGCGTAGTGTATAGATACACAGATTCTTTAAGACAAACCAATTGAATCAGAATCTTAGTTCAGGGTGGGCCTCAGAAATCTACATTTTTCATGATAGTCTCAGATATTTCTTAATGCACACTGAAGTTTGAGAACCACTGTTTTAACATGTGGGAACTATCCAGAACCTTGAAGCTTGCCCCTGAGTTTCAACTATATTTAGCAAGTAGAGTCCAGTTATGAGATAAGAAGTTTAGTTCTTTCTTGGGTCTAATTCTTCCTTCCCTTCCTCCCACCATCTATGGAACACTAAAATGCTTGGACATACAACTAATGATAGAATGCATTTTGTCTAAATCACTCTTTTGTACTTCTACCATTGTTCTTTGAGAATTAATTGGCTCTTATTTTTACTGAACCCTGGTCACTAGCTCTTGCCTAAAGTTCACGTATATATGTTTTAGAAGATGGTTCTTTATTTATGGCAGATTCATTCATTCATTCATTCATTCAACAAATACTTAAGTAGTGTGTTTGGTTCTGGAAATATAAAAATACACAAAACCAGACATAATTCCTGCCCTTGTGTCTACTGGCAGACATTAATGACATTATTTCAAAAAATGTGTTATTTTAATAGTGATAAGTATTAAAAAGAGAGGTATATGGTGCTGTAAGAGCTTGGAGATTTGGTTTAGTTGGGTGGTCAGGCAAGGCATTCACGAGGAAGCGCTGACTGATTAAGCCAAGATCTGAGGATGGAGAAAATTTTTATGGAGGTTACAGAGGTTGTTACAGGAAGAACCTGATTTAGGTTGAAACAGAAGGTTTAATTTGGGGGATTGATGGGCCCAATACACCTCAAGAGCTCTTTAGTGGTAATGAGAATCTGAGGTACATGAAAAATCTCACAAAATCCTGAAATTCTTCTTTCCTGCCTTTCTAGGAAAGATGCTGAGCTTTACATGGGCTATGCCCTTTTATAATTTCCAAAAGTGAATCAGAATGAATCACAAACAGAACTGGCCCTGAAACAGCACACAGTCTATCACAGGAGGCCAGGCATGCTCCCAAGTGATTCTAAGAGAGGCAACTACGCCAAGTGCAAAGAGAAGCACGAAGGGGCAAAAACCATCCATAAAAACAAAAAAAACCCCATCCATAATTCAGCCTCTCTGATGCATCTTGTCTCCCCCTTTGTATGTGCTCTCTTTAGAGTGGGCACCAGCTGTTTTTACTTGCCCAGCACCCATTTCTCCTTCTGATAATGGTATCCTGATTTTGCACTGGAGACAGCCCAGTGGGATTATCAGTGCCACACCTTGTCCCTGCTAAAAGTTGGGGGTGTGACCCAAGATGAACCAATTCTCTCTCTCTGAAATTTGGCCCTTGAGTAAAGTGATGCAGGGATAGAAAATGGTCAGAGCCAATTTGTCCTATGACCACACCAGGGCCACTGGCCATGGTTCCTACCACCAGGATTTCTGGAACTATGCTGTGCCCTGTCATTAACAAGGATGAGTTATTCAGCGTTTTCAACAATCCTATGGGTTACCTGCAGAGCCATCCAATACATTTTTTTAAAACCTTAATTAGCTTGAGTCTATTTCTGCTGTTTGCATATACAGAATTCTAACAGTTACTCTTTTGGAAGAGAGAGACCAGACCTCACAGTTCTCTGTGTCCTCTCAATGTGCCCTATACAAGTAGGTGCTCAATAAATACTGGTCAATTGATAGTCTGAGGAAATGTATCTCAGGATGAAATGTCTTCCATTGCTTAGCCATTGGTTATTTTGGGGGATGGGCATCATTTTCAAATTTTCCTTCTGGCTAACTTACTGTGAGGTTTTGTTTATTCTTTAGCAACAATGAAAGCAAAGATTGCCTCTTGCTTAATGCCAGAGAGTTGCATTTGTGGCACAGCAGAGACTTGAGTAGATCTGTAGAAGATCTCATCTTAGAAGTTCAAAGTTGGTCAAACTTTCAAGGTCAGTTAAACCTAAGAGAGAGTTGCTTTACAGTGAGGTCTAACAATCGGTAGCACTCTAAATAATAGTCAAGTAACCCAATAAGCACCATTAGTCAGTAAATTACAAGTTGTGATGCCTTTTAGAGGACAGCACAAATTAAAGTTTTGCAAATTGAATTATAGTGTAAATGCTCTGGTGGAATCTGCAAATTAAAAAGAGGAAATGGCAAATTCCTTTGTAATCTGAAAAGTCCTGACGCACAAAGCAAACCAAAAAAAAAAAAAAAAAGTGGGGGATGTAGCCTTTTTCAAGGACATGTATTACTATTTCTGAAATATTTTTTTTAAAGAAGCACTCAAGAGAGTGAAGATATTATTTATATATTACCAATGTATTAATATCAATATCTACATCTCCATCTGTGTCCATATATACACAAATGTTCCTTGCAGCATTGTTAATAATAGCCCAAATTGGAGAAATCCAGAAGTCTATCAAAAAGGGAAAATTCTATAGGTATTAAAGCCAGAGCTACATGTGCATACATGAAAAAATGTTAACAACAGCCTGTGTGAAAAAGGCAAGTTGCAAAACAACATGAAGAGGTCTGTTAGCTTCAGTTTAAAAAAAAAGCCTGTCTGCAAAGATATATTCTAGACTATAAAACATAGTTATGGGAGATTGGTTAAGACTTCTGGAAGCCCCAGGCACCAAGAACAGTAGACAGCTCCCCCCAGCAGGTAATTCAAAATCAAACACTAAATAACAAAATAAATGCAAAAAGTCCCACTAATGAAAGATGTTCTGACTTTTCTCATCATGTCTATCTTGGTGCTTTTAGAAATATCACATTCTTTTAAGGTAATGTTAATGTAGCTACTGTCCTTATCAGGCACATATGTGCTCCCTCCTGGGGTCCTCCATTTCTGGCAGGGGACTGGGCAGGGGTGGGAGTCTATCATCCCCTACCTATCTTCTGTATTGTTAGAATTAAAAACCAATGATTATGTATTAACATTTTAAGTTTAAGTTTTAAAGTGATATAAAAATAGGAAAAGGAGCACAAGGGAACCTTCTGGGTATTAGATGTGTTCTGTATCTTCCTCTAAGTGGTGGTTATGGGGATATATAATATGTAAAAATTCATTGAGTTAAATGCTTGATCTTTGTATCAAACTTTAAGTTATGTCTCAGTTAAAGAGCAGTTATTTGTCCTATTTAATATTTAATACTGATGGTTTTTAAGAATATTAGAGTTGAAGAGTTACCTGCACCAATACAAAAAACCTTTTCTTCCATCTCTTCCAGACATTCTTACCGATGGCCCATAAATACCTAAGGGAAAGGAGAAAGACCAGAGCTGCGTTAATGCTCGAGTGAGCACACTGTTTACCACACTTTACCATGAAGCTTGATGCTAATAAACAAGGAAATGCACGTGGCTCTGAAATAGAATGCAGATTTCGGAGCTCTATAGTTGAGAACAAGAGGAGGAAGCACAGTTCATGTTCGCTTACAGGAGAAATTGTGGCTCATCCCCAAACTTGACTTAGATTCCTTGACTGATTCCAGAAAGCACCTTGGAAAATATTACATTGTAATTTAATTTGTAGATGTGCTAAAAAGCTTTTAGGTAGGGAAACTCCTGAAAGATGTTGCACAAAAGACAGGGAGAAAAAAAGTACTAAATCTCACAACTCCAACTTTTTCACCTCTCAAGTTTCATTCAAGGAAACCTTCCCTTATTTTCTTTTGCTGTAATCTTGGCAATTGCAGGTGTATTACAGGGAAGAAGTTCCAAGTCAACATGGGAAGTCCTCCCTATTCCCTTCGCATTCCCCAAATGCTCTTCTGTTGATGAAAATTAATCTTTATACAGACAAATGAAATAAAAAGGAGGGTTAAGATCTACAGAGGCATAGCTCGAAGCCATCTGAAGATTTTAAGATCAATGCTTCTAGTTCATTCATGAATTAGCCCATTGGCTTTGTGGATTGTTACACGTTGAACTGGCACCGATCCCTTGAAGTGAGGCTCTGCAGGACCAAGGGAGGAGAGATCTGGTTGTACTCAAACACACGCAAATACTTTAGCTTCAAAACTGGCTTTACCTGCTATCCAAACACAACTGGACAACTTCCAAATCCTTCACCTAGAATCAGACAGAATTTCTGGTTTGGCACATAATGGAGAATGCACCTAATTAAAATTGTTACTGTTTGAAAAATTTCAGAGAATCTTATGAGTGGCTGGTAGCCAAAATCTACTTAGACCTTCAAGCCAGAAACCCAGGAGTCATCCTGTGTCCTTCTGTTTCCTCATCCTTTCTCCTCAAATGCCAAGTGCAGTTGATTTTTTACCCCCTGGAGAGTTCCTCATTCTGCTCAGGCTTCCCACTTCCTACCTACACTATTTCAGTCCCTGCCCACATTTTCGCTTCTGTGGACAACTATAGAGAAACCTCTTAATTGGCTTCAGGGACACAACATGATTTCCATCCAAACCTGGCCATGAGACAGACCCTACCATCTGCAAATTCTATTTTGCCTTTTTTCTGCTGAAACTCCTTCAGTGGATCTCCCCTGTTTACATAAAGGGTGCACTACATTTTGCCTTCTCACATTTCACTTTCATGATTTGTCCCACATCTGTCCATCTATTCTATGATTTATTTGATATTTTTCTTTAAAATGACTTGCTTAACCAGAGTAAATTTTGAAAGAAAAATTTACATATAGGCTTGATATGCTAATCATATATTATGTAGCACACATTAAAATACTAAAATGATCTTGTGTATCGTCAGCAGAATGTATACGCTTGGGGAAACCTTAGCCTGGAGAGACAAAATCCACCACCTTGGTCTGGCTGTTTACCTCGCTAGACTCAGCTTCTGCACGCTGTAGCACCTGTATTTCCTGACCACACCAAAAAGTTTCACACTTCCTTACCTTTGCACAACCTGTGTTGCCTGGAATGCCTTCTCCCTGCTCTTTATGTTACAACTCCTATTCCTTCCTAAGTTTAAGTTCTTACTTTTATGTCATCTCCTAGGCCTTGTAGATAATTCTGCTGTTAGAATTATCCTACTGCTATAATTTATTTGTTTTTATATTTATTGTTCCTATTGGACTGTGAACTCCTTGGCAGAAGGAATCCTGGCCATTCTTTCTAAATGCCTAGCACAGAACCTTGCTCTTCTTTCTGAATTCCCGATATATGGTAAGTGGTCAACCAATATTTGTTTTATTTCAACTGGTTTTGAGTGTCATGCTCTTGAAAAACCAAAGCAATCTTTATGAAGATTTCTGATGAGATTTGAAAATATTGCATAAGAACACACAATCCATTGCCAAGTTTTTGAGCTTTCCTTCCAAAATACATTCCATCTCTTCCAATCCCCACTGCCACTCCCCAGTCAAGCCACCATCGTCCCCACCTACACCACAACAGAAGCCTCCTAACTGGTCTCCCCGCTTTCACTCCTCCTCCTACGTTCCATTCATTACAGGGCAGCTAGAGGGGTCTTTTAAATGGGTAAATCAGATCATCAATACATTCATTCTAAATAAGAATGGGAAACTATAGCAGAGTTTTAAGAGAGTGTGTGTGTGTGTGTGTGTGTGTGTGTGTGTGTGTTACAATTATATTTCTACTTAAGATGATTGCACTGGCTGCTGGGTGGGGAATGCACTGTAGGTGGAAGGGGCAAGAGAGAAAGTCGAGAGATCAGTGAAGAGATGGTTCCAGTAGTGCTGGCAAGCAAGGATGGTGGCTGGACCAAATCTCAGGCGGTGGGCATGGCTGGCTGGCAAGTTCCTCAGCCCTGTGCTGCTGCCCAACACAGTCAGCTCCAGTGTTACATGAAGCACCTAGCTATCCTGGCCAGTGGTCTTAACCTTCTGGAAATAATACATTAATGTATTTATGGCAGAAATGGACACAAAAGGGAGGCTTGGCCAGGGCTAAAGAGAGAGAAGATTACTGGCCTGTAACGATTGAGAGCATAGTTTTCCAGTTCTAGTTCTACCAGTTACTGAGATGCTGGGCAAGATGCTTAACCTCTTGGTGCTGTGCAATACAAGGGCAGCAATGGATCCTCGCTCACGAGGTTGTTGTGAGGACTGAATGGGGTAACGCTCATGAAGTAGAAGCTCGAGGCATGGCAGGAAGTAGGTGCATAATAAGTGTCAGCCTTATAATAAATATCTCTGTGGACGGAGAAAAGTGTACCATTAGTAGCAGTAAATAATGACTAAATATGTGGAAAGAAATCTCCTTGGACTTACATAAGTAGGGGGATAAATGGCCCAAAGATCAAATTTAAAAGTGGGCAAAAGATGTGAATTTTTAGTAATGACTGGCAAGGCTGTAACAATTTCCCACTCTCTGGAATTATATCTGGCAGCTACTATCCATTTTCTCTTACTTTGCATCCACATTTAAGAGCTTCAAAACAATAAATTTAGCTACAATATCTAATGTGTAAGTGATTTTAATTGATGAGAATGGAAGCGGGAAAAGGCAATCACTAGAACCCATAGAATGTAATTTACATTGAATCATTAATTTTCCTTCATAATAAAAATGGTAGCCACTGCTTAGTGAAGTTTTACTAGTTTTCTGTGCTGTGCCAGGCACTTTATGCCACTCACCTGGAGGGTTAAGAGCTTGGATCTGGAGTCATGCTGCCTGGGCTTGAGTAATCTTGGCCAAATTACTAGGTTTATCTCTACCTCAGTTTTCTCATCTAAATGATGGGGATAATAATAATAATAATCCTCAAGAGTTGTGAAAATTAAAGTAGAAATATGCAGTGCTTAAAAAAATACCTGGCACAAAGTCAATACTCACTGTTAGCTATATCATTATACTATGAGTCCCATCATACAGTTGAGGAAACTGAGGTTGAGAAAGTTTAAGTAACTTACCCAGGGCTCCGCAGCTGGTCAATGCGACATCCAGAACTTCCACTCACAACAGTCTGATTCTAAAGCATCCTCTTTACTGTGGTCTTCTTCCTCCCATGCTACACAACACACTTTGATTTCATTATTGAAATAAGAACATGAATCGCTACTCTAATTGAACAGAGGGGGGTTCTGGTTAAAGGATTCTGAATGGGAAAGCTGGTGGGATCAGAGAAAAATTAACAATTCTCTTTTGAAAAGTATCAGTTGCTTTGCATGAAGGAGGGGCTTTCCTCTGAGGTTTTCCTCAGACTTTATTGCTAATTTGGCACATACCAGAAGGTGCCAAAACCAAGAAAAACTGAGGGCTTCAATGCACTCTTTCTGTCTAGTTGGCTCCTGCTCTGTATTTTCTTAGGTTGAAACACGCTCATTAAACAGAATGCACAGTACCTGGAGCAGATGGAAGCTCTGTTATTGCAGACATACAGGTGGCTTCCTCCTTCTTGCTGTTCACACTACAGACAGATCTATCTGTGTGGGCATTAGCGGTCCTCAACTCTCCCTTCAGGCTGTCCAGATATGTGGAAGTCTGGGTTTACCAGTAGAAAAATCAGTATTCTAGTGTACTGAGGAGTAGCTTAGCCTAGTAGTTATATCTCAGACTAGGGATGAGACACCTAGGTGGGAATTCTGGCCCTGTCATTAACTCTTCTTTGGTTTAGCTGTCCTGTGCCTCATTTTTCCCAGCTGCAAAATCGGGATAACATAGTATCTCCTTCACAGGGTTGCTGTGAGGACTCACGGAGATTCTGCATGTTAGGTGTTTTGCATAGGAACTGGCACGTAGGAAGCGCTTGGTAAATGTTAGGCATCACTGCTGTTGTTATACTTATTACTATTATTAGTAGTAGAACTAGTAGTTCTAGGAGAAAGAGTATATAATTTCCAACTTTGCAAAGCATTCATGTTTGGATTCATTATTTGAATTTACATTCAACATTTGGGCACACATCTGCTGGGAAATAAAGTGAGGCACTCATGTCTGATTTTGGAGCTCCAGGTCAGTTTTGCATCATGATTCTAATGTATCCTCTTGGTAGCATTTTTGTAAAACCCATGCCACTGGGTCACTGGCATCTCTATCACCTGCTGGGGGCATTTTAGTTATATGAGAGCCCAGAGTGAGCTAGAAAGGACCAAAAAGAGAAAAGGAAGGTACATTTGGATTGAACTTAAGTTCCAGGAACCCCCCAAAACTGCTGAGTCATGGAAGACAGCTGGCCTCAGTGTCCCTCTGCCCCGGGACTACTTGGTAGGGAAACACCCATGGCAGTGCTTGTAAATTTTCATTTGTATATTAAAAAAAATGGGACAGTCATTCCTCATGTGGTGTTTGTAGATTTAACGTAAATTTGTAACATA